CCAGGGGGGGCAGAAGAGCACGCTAATGTTACTATCTTGGGAAGCAAGTGGAGACTGGGAAGAGTGGGGAGGCTGGTCTTACTTCAAGGTCACCCAGGGGGCAAGCACCTGGCTGATCAGGGATTAGCATAGATGTTACTGTCTTGCTAAGCCCACAGAGCCACACTGTTTATCTATTTCTGCTATAAGTTTATAGCCATTTAAGGGAGAAAAAAAATCAGTCTGAATGAATCTTTATTTTAGGACTAAAGTAAGTGTGTGTGTGAGGGAGGGGGGCAGATCACATCTTTAAGAGGAAAAAAATGCAAATAATAAAGTTACAAAAAAGTGTTCTTGATCCCCTATATCCCTGAGCCCCCTCTAACCTCTTCATCCTAAAATGGTGAAGATTACCTTAAGCCAGCCTCAATGCTCCTTTGGCGAGTTTGTTCTATCTAATATATTGTTTAACGTATTTGTTCATTTAGGCCATGACTCATTGCTTTTCTGGATTCTATTTTTAGCTGTTGCTTCTCAGTTGGATTTTTCCACATATCAAACGTTCAACTATGTGTCTAAGGGGACACTGTCTGCCCTGGGGATGAAAAACTGACCATATAGTTTTATTATTTGTAAATTGTAAAAGGTGGTAAAAATGTCTTTCATCTCCGCTAAAACCTGTTAAAATTGAGGTGTCATGCTACAGAGAATATATGATGAAAAGGAAATTGTTTTAAGTATATATGAGGTATAATTCTGAGACACCCAGAAGAAGATGGTGGCCACCTGTATGTTATCGCCTGATATTTGAACATCTGACTCTTGACTCCCTCCTCAGAAAGGCATCTGGTAGTGACATGAATAGGAACAGATCACTCCAATGTGCTGATATGGCAGAATTATGGGTTTGTGAAAAGCTAAGAAGACTTTAGGGAAAAGCAGTGGCTTTGAAGAAGGATGGAGGGTGGCCAGGATAACGGTTCCAAAGAAGGGCCACTGGGCCCTGAGAAGGCAGAGAAGGAACTTAAAAGGGAATCTCAGGACAGACAGATTATGATGGAGACTAACCAAGATGGTGGACCACACAGTTGCCCAGAAATAACCGTCTGTTAACCTTTATTTTTTTCCCTGAGTTTGTAACTGATATATGCATATATTTATAGGTAAATACATAGAAAACTCCTGGAATGATATACACCAAACTGATAACAAATTCTGGAGAGGATAAATTGGGGGATGGGGCAGTGGGATGGTTGCCTTCTACCCCAAATACCTCTGTTGTTTTTTTCCAATAACAAAAATGTATTTATATATTCCTTATATAAATAAAGAAAAAGACAAAGGGGAGAGTATGTAAGACTATGTGTGCCCATTGTTAAAAAATAAAGTTAGAATCATGTAACTAGGAGAAAATAAAAATCACCTGTAATCCTGCCACTCAGTGATAACCACACTAGGGGAGCATTTCTCACCCAAACTCACAACAGCGGATTTGGAGTCCAGGCATAAAAAGTCTCCACTGGTAGAGAAAAGGGGTGCCACACCAACAGGGCAAGCAGGGAGAAGCAAGATGCAAGCAGCCTGTCAAGTAGTGGGGCTGGGGCCAGAGGTGAGAGATGAGGGGAAAGAGGGGACAGCACCAGAAAGAGGGACATGGGGGTGCAGATAATAGAGTCAGACATTTGTCCTCAGTCCTTTTTATTTAATTCTGTGCCCATAAATAATGTCATCAGCAAGAAGTCAGGAGCGATAGTTGGGTCTTGCCCAAATTGGAGGCTGGGATTATACACAGAGTTAACACTACCATGCAGAGAGCTTACTTAGGCCTCTGGTGGAAATGGGGCTGGGGGGAAGTTCTAAAGAGAGGGGCCTGAAAGAAGAGTGACTTAGAAAGAGTCTAGAAGAAGGGCTCCTGGGTGGCTTGGTTGGTTCAGCATCTGACTCTTGATTTCGGCTTGGGTCATGTTCTCAGGGCTGTGAGATTGAGCTCCCAGACAGAATTCACACTGAGCCAGCTTAAGATTCTCTCTTTCTGGGTGCCTGGGTGGCTCAGATGGTTGAGCGTCTGCCTTCGGCTCAGGTCATGATCCCAGGGTCCTGGGATCGAGTCCCGCATCGGGCTCTCTGCTCCTTGGGAGCCTGCTTCTCCCTCTGCCTTGCTCTCTGTCTCTCATGAATAAATAAATAAAAATCTTTAAAAAAAAAAAATTCTCTCTTTCCCTCACCCTCTTCCCCCACCCCCAACCCTGCTTACATGCTCTCTCTCTCTCTCTCTCAAAAAAAAAAAAAAAGGTCTAGAAGAGTCAAGAAGCACTGGGGATGCTACTGGCATTGGGAGGGCCCATCGTTGTGTGGACTTTCCACACACTGCAGAAGGTTGGGCACCCCTGACCTTTTGTCACTGAAGAAGATGATCCAAACACCACTACACATCCAAACATCTCTATGGCCTCAGAACACATCCTTGTTTGGAAAGCACTGCATCTGATGCCCAGCTAAAGGAGCATCAGGAGGCTAAAACCTCCCAATTCTCTCCTGCTGCGGGGAAGTTGAACTGTGGCTTCCAAATGACTTTGGGCCACAGAGAATGGGGTAGACTGGAGGGGTTCTAAGTAACAAGAGAAACAGGGAAAAGGCATAAAACACAGAAGCATAGTTGGTAGAAGAGAAACATCCCCCACTTCAACCTCTGATGGAGAGAGCTAAAGATCTCCTACCCTGAGCAGAGGCAGGAACCAGGGAGACCATGAGAAGGGTTCCGTTTCATACTGCCAGTTATGAAACAAGGCATCCACGTCAGCCTTTGGCCTTCAAGACTTTACCTTTGGATGTCATGCATTTTTTAAGGAGGCTGAAGAAAGCCAGTTGTTGGATCTGCTGTGAACACTGAAAGAAATGTGCTCTTAATCTATCACAGCATTAACCACCTCTGGAGAAAGAGACTGTCACATCAATTAGACGTGAAACTCCTCTATCTCAGCATCTCTCCATATTTAACTACTCAGAGGGAAAGAAAACTTTCATATTTAGATAGGATATAGATAGTAATCATCCAAAAACATTGGCTCTATTTTTAGATTCATGTTTGTAGGCTTCTCCATAACTGGACAACAATGCAGTATTTGCAATGTTGAATCAAAATCACTTCATTTTAATTGGGAAAATGTATTGCATTTCTGGGTTTGCTCATATCCATTTCCACAAGCAAGTTAATTGCTTGGGAATATATATATATGCACTTTCCCCCCCTTAATGCTGTCCTACATAAAACTGCTCAAAGAACAAATACCCAGCTTAAAACAATTTTTTTTTTCAATTTGTGAGGCATAACACAGTAAACCCTAACATGGCAGATTGAAAATGCAGGGCCTTGAAAGAGCCAACAGATATTCCAGCCCTTGGAGGCTTCCAAGTCTAATTGGAAGGGAACCCCCAAGTTTGTCTACCCTTTTATAGAGAAACTGAGGCAAATCAGCAAGGGTGTCTGAGGAAGTCTTATTTTCTCTGTTCTTTGGGGTCTCCATCAGCTCTAGATGTAGCCTTACATCATCAGCCCAGAGAGCCCAATGACAGCCGCAGGGACCATTTTATGAAGGGTCGCCTCACGCCAAGCATTATACTTTACACACATTGTCTCATTTAATCATCACAACAGCTCAGAGAGGTGGATACTATCATTTTACAGATGAGAAAACTGAGATACTAGTAGGGAGATGGCAAACAACAACACATGGAAGTCCTTAGAATGCCCACCTTCTATCAGTTTCTGGCTATGGGAGAACAAAGGCAAGAGAACTCCCCCTAGGATCCCAGGGCAAGAGGAAGGGATAAATGCAGGGTCTGCAACAGGTTCTGATGCTGTGGGCCCCCAGTGTAACTCCCCAGTGTGGTATCAAGCATTCACTTTTTCAATATTCTCCCGCAGGCAGGCTTGCACTGCAGTTTTGGCTGTTGCTGCAGCTGAACATCACATAAGCTTACCGAGTGAACAGAAAAGGACTAGTCCCCTAAGCCTGTCCCTCCTTTCCTTTGCTTATTCAGCATCTTCTCTCTGCTGTTGGGAGCAGCTGGGGTTAGTGAGCTGGAACCCAAGCAGATCAATACCGTGTGCATATGAAGATATGGTTAGCAGGGTACTAAGGCTCATTGCGGATACATCCAGTATGTCAATCATGGTCTAGAGGTTAAGTAGATATTTTTTGTCTAATGTCAGGAGGTCCATCTTATTGGAACATGGGATATTTTCCTGCCTTGCTCACACAATGCAGCTCTAGAGAAGGTAAACAATGTGTTATTTAAACATTTGTAATGATGCTTTGTATGCAGTGTTTGCATAAAAAATAAAAATTCCATCTATCAATATATACATACAACATATATATAATACATATATATTTGAAGTTTTGGACAATACGTTTTCTGATTACATTGTGTGTGAAACATGTTTTAAAAATTCGATGCAGTTTTCATTGTGCTATAAGGTACCCAGATGCCAAATTCTTTTGCAAGATGAAAAATACAGGGGTAACATAATATTTGCCTGCATGTCTGCAACATCACTTTTTGTCTTTTGCTTTTTTGTCATCTTTTTCTTAAATGAAGGCACAGCACTGTTGCAATTAATCATAACTTAGGCAAACTTGAATTCCCCTTCCTGGTGTTGCTGCCCCCTCCCCATGCAGAAAAGCCCTTCCATGGTGGTGAGCAGAGGTGGAGGTTTAAACCACATATGCCATCTTCCCTCCAGACAGTGCCTCCCTTGTCTAAATTGTGCTGGAAGGCATGGTTCTTTGCTCAAGCTAAAAAATTTTTGTGGCCCTTTAAGAGCCATGAAAAAAAACAAGGAGACACGCTCTGTAACATGGAGGAAGGAGAACGAATACATTTTTTTTTTTTTCCTGCCAGAGAATTTCTAGCAATGCCTCTCCTCAAAATTTGATGTATTTCACCAAATTGGGCTCAGGACATTCATACAAAAATAATAGCTATATTATGGACCATGGATTCTGTCTCCCCTGAAAGACATTACGTTTTCAAGAACACTCCTGTACAAATGGAAATGCACAGAGAGCATGATTTTGTCAGATGTCTAGCCACTCAGATAAATCTGCCCTGCTAATCATGGCTTCCCACCTACATTCCTAACAGAGAAAGAGGAATCCCAAGTTCCTATTGCCAAAGACATCCCTAGGCCCTGGAACGCAATGCCATAAAGAGGCAAAAAACTAACAAATAATGATGGATCCCTAACTATTTGGAAAGATGGAACTACGTGGCTACAGACCTTTTCTCCAAAGACCCCCATAAGCTAGAAGGCTGGAGTTAGGGAGATTGTACAAGAGACTGGCCTGTAAAAGGAGCCCACAAATCTGAACTCCATGCTGAGCCATTCAACAAGAAGTGCAGTATGAAGCCAAAATGCTGAAGCGGCCCATGCAATGCTGGGATAGGTGGGCAGAACTCACACCGGTGTGACATATTTATTTCTGCCGTTGTTATCTTTCCGAGGCATGGATGACCAGATATGGACCAGGATCTGCTTACCTTGTTATACTGGCCTTTTGCTGGATTAACTTAAAACAGCTGAGTAAATAAACTACAAGACTTTTTAGACACCTTTAAAGGGAAACAATCATATCCGCTCTAGGAGAAGTGGAGTGCTCAAAACACAAAGCAGTAATGGAAAAGCCAGTGAAATCAAAATTAATGCCAGGTTGTCTTAGCAGGCCTTTAACAGTCCAGATAGAACCTTCCCCCTTTCTGGTCCAGGGCCTGTTTGCACATGGGCAAGGACCAAAAAAACCCATCCTCTACCATGTCACTGAGTTCAAGCTTCACTTTTCTTATGAGAAGACATCTGCAGCCCGTAAAACTGATAGCAACAATCTTCTGCCCTGAAGTGCCTTTTAAGAAATTATTTACCTGAAATCCATCCTTCTCATTATACATGAGTCCCTAAATAGTTGCCAGGAATAGCTCTTTTCACTGTTGTCATGGAAAACAACAAAGGAGAATCCCTGCCTCAGATAAGCGAAGGCCCATGTGCCATAAGGAAGGGAAGCGAGCCATCAAATCCCATAAAAAAGGTGATGTGTTGCTTGAGTTTATGTGTTTTCCTATAACTGTTCTTTTTATCAAGATGACTTGTATTATTTTCATTGAATGTAATAGATTCTTTAGCCCATCTTTACCTTTATGTGACCTTGGATTTTATGGCATGATAACTGTGTCGATTACAGTCGAGTTGGATACAAATCAACTCTGGAATAACCTGGATGACAGGAGGGCGATGAGCTGCAGGTAAACAAGGCGGGCTCCTGTTAGGAGGTGGGGGTGGGGAATTCCCACAGGGGTTATAGCCCAGGGGTGGGGACAACCTTCCCGAGAGCTGGTGGGATGGGATGAGAGCCGCACAATCAGCCTCTTGCTGATGGTTCCATTTGGTTTCCAGGCCTGCACTTGGAAAAACAAAATGTGATCCCATCCCTGATCTAACCTGGGCTTCCCCCAAGGCAAGCTTTATACTTTGCCTCTTCCCCAATTTCCCCATATTATTAACTGCTTCCACTTCTTGAAAGTGGGCTTGGTGCCATGCAATGTGTTTGTGCTTTAGAGGCACGGACTCCCTCATTTAATTCTCACAACAGGCATTGACTCCCTCATTTAACTCTTGCCAAATATTTGTATCCCCTATTACAAGTGAGGTGCCTGAGGTATAGAAATTGAATGCTTTGCTCAAGAAGTAGCTGGGACACAAATGGACGCTTGATGCTCATGTTAAGAAGAATATTGGAGCTTTTCTTTTTTTCTTTCTTATTTAACATTCTTTTTTTCCTCAAGGCATTGCCTTCATTGTCAGCCCTCTCCACTTCAAATTTTCAAAGCTGGTGTTTAAATTCTTACTGAAAGAAATGACAAGTAAGGAATTGCCCCGAGCTTCGGTATCTACATTTATGTCAACATCTGGGGGTCAGACGTCTTGGTCAGCAGCTGATGCTGGATGGTGGGAAGAGGGTGCAGGGACTTTTGTATATTGCCCAACAAAGACAGCATGTTTGAGCTTCTCAGCAATGCTGAGATGCACTGAAATGAGGGGCATTTAGAAGAGCCTGAGGTCGGGGCGGGGGGGGGGGTCTTTAGAGAACAGCTGCCTCTGAAGAGTTTTTAGACACCAGCCAAAGAATCCATTTCCTCCCACAAGCATAGACCTTTAAGGGCACATTTTAGCTGTGGCTTCTGGGGGCCTATTTTAATCACTGTCCAGTTATTGATGAACTGAAATGCCTTTTATTTTCCATTGACGAGGTCATCATTTGCTATTTATTTTAGGTAGATAAGATGTGATGAGAACAAAACTTCAATGATATACCCACAAAACAGAAAAGGAACAATTATAAAGTTCTTTGATTTATTGCCAGTGAGACTCCTAACTAATAAAGATGGTTGCAAGTCTTCTTTTGATTTTTTTTTTTTTTTTTTTTGGTAGGACTTCTCAATAACAAAGATCTCAGATTTGAAAAATGAAAGTTCATCATGTGCATCTGCTGTGTGGAGATTTACATTTTGCAACTATTTTGCTCAGCATCAGGGCTATGTGAGCTGCTGCAATTATGTGTCCTCCTGCCCTGTCTCCTCCAGAGGGCAAGGATTTCTGCCCAGAAGGACTGACCGGCCATATTCACAGGTTCAGGCCCTATTACTGCTCTGCTCTTGCTAGATGGAGTCACACAGTAACTTCCTGAGTATTATTCTGGCCCCTGCCATCTCTGGGGGCAACGGGGGCTGCCAATCATTACAGCAATTCAGAAAGATGGTTTGGGATCCAGTTGGACTTCTCTTGTTGGTGTTTCTAGTAGCTTCCTGCAAAGCCGTTAGTGACTATCTTCCCCTCTCCAGGAAAAATGGAATGAATGACCCAGAAAACAGAGGTCCTTTTTTCAAGGATCAAGTTCCTATGCTTGTTACAATGTGTGTAAACCTTCATGTTAATTTTGTTACCAGAGAGAAACTTCTTAAAGCCAATATTTGTAAGAGGAACACAAGATGGAATGTTGCCCGATGGTCCATTTTTCTAAGGAAAGGCACAAAGGGCATACAGAAGCACCTGACTTTTAGGCCCAGAAGCCAGATTTGAATTCTAGCATTAAAAAAAATGTAGGTTTTCTGTAGGTGGTGATTAATTATACTTTTATTTTCAACTTAAGTTTTTAATATGTAAGACAGTCACATGGGTCAAAACTTTAAAAGACAGAGAGTGAAAAGTCTTCTACCTACCCTGTGTCATAGCTACTCAATTCTCTTCTTGTCCATCCTTCCAGAGATATTTTATGCATATACAAATACATATCTATTCATACATTTCCCCACAAATAGTAGCATATTATGCTCAGCACCCTGCTTTTCTTTATTTTACAATAGATATTAGAGATCTTTTTTGATATCACTATATAAACAGCCTTTTCTTTTTTCATGGCCACATAATATTCTACTAAATGACCATACTTTTTTTTTATACTGTCCTCTAATGTGTTGGCCAATAATTTCCCATTAAAATCTGGACTAATCACTGTGAACAGATGACAATCTATTTGGAGGTATTTTAAAAAGAAGTAAGTTCTCATCATACAGTAGTTTGAATAGTACCCATGAAACAGGTCCCGAGAGTTCCTTTTGAATAGTGTCAGCTGGGGACTGCAGACAATATGGCCTGCAGTATCCTGGACACCAGGCCATGAGGGACTGGGTGGTTTCTAAGAAAGAGTCACCCACTTTTGCAGTATTTAAAAAAAAAGGAATGTAAAAACATGAATAAAGAGTATTTCATAATAACTTAGAATATATCCATGGGTGCTTCAGTGAGGGTTACCCAGCATTTGCTCTTACAGCATTAGAGTTAATACATTAAACAGAAACACACTTGACATCTGCTCTGTTCTGCCATTGCACTTAACTGGGGTAACGCTCCCTTTGCCTTATGGTGTGCATTTCAAACACAGTAGAAAGGATTAATTGCCTTCTAATCCGAAGATTTGAAGATTCAAACTGAAGCTATAGTGATTAACTTTAAACAACATTTGAATTCTATTTAATTAGAGTCTTCAAATCCATTTTCCCCATTTCTGAAACTACATTATTTATATCGCTGACATAATAACATCTATTTTTGATAGATCTTGGGCCAATGCTCCATCAGCCATGTTGTGAGAACAAAGGCTTTGGAACATGTACTCAGGCAAAAAAAGACAATGTGACTGTGGGAAGTGGCAGCAGGTGGTACAACTTATCTTCCTGAAATCCAGCTTGGGGAGTTTGACTTGAAATAAATGACCAGGATGAACTGCTGGGTTGTGTTCACTGTGAGAACATGGTGAGTGGCGCTCCCCATAGGACCCACTTTTAGGAAGAATCCTATGACGTAACCGAATTGTGCACAGGCCGCTTGGAGATGCCAGCCAAGAGGCCGAGTTGCCTGCGTGCTGGGATTCCTTTATGGGCAAGAGCGGATATGGATGGCACCTAACTTCCTCTCACAGTAGGGCCCAGTGCCAGGAACACACGAGGTGTGCAATGTGTGTTCACCGACATGAGCTATTCCCAGCAGCCTCTCTGTGGACGTGGAAGAGTAGCCAAGTTCATGGATGTTTATCATGTACTGTCAAGTGGGGAAAGAGACAAAGGAACCAGGGCACAAAATGGGGGATTTACTGAGAAGCTAAGGGAGCTTAAACTTGGGGACCCCTCACTTGCACAGCCCCTTCCCAGGCCCTGTACATATGTTTGTTTCCATCATTTTGAAATAGTCTCTTAAAGAAGACCTCCAAATTTTATAAGCTTCAGATCCACAAAATCTGTATTCATTTTGGGTGCAAAATAGCATATAAACATGATTCCACTTTTAGAATGGAAAATTATTATTTCCATTCTTATGGAAAAATCTACTCAAAAATAGAATTACAGATATATGTGTGTGTGTGTATGTATATATATATACATACACACACACACACACGTTAGGGATGATGTATATTAAAAATGTTAAAACTGGTTTTCTCTGAAGGTGATTCTTTATTTGCTATTTTCTATATTACTAGAATAACAAGTGAAATTAATGCCATGTTAAGACTTATGCTTTCTCCCCCTTATAAAGAAGTATTCCTTTGAACTCAACTAACCTTTTTGTAACTGTTACTTTCAGGCAATGTTTCTCCCCATCTAGTACTGGGAATGAAACTGTCTTTTCTGGTTCCTGGCAATCTTTAACTGGGAAGAAAAATAAAAATAGATGAGCAAAACTACCTCCCTTTGAGTTATAATCTTCATATTCATGGAAGGACGCACATCCGCTTTTTGGCAGATTTCTGCAGGAAATTGATCAAAGAGTCAAGAACTCTTGCCCACATGCCTTGGTTCCTTCTCTAAACCCCTCTCATCTCCTCACCCACCTGGTCAACCTCTGTCTTCCACCCCAAGTGTCTTCAGCCAAGCTGACTCACATCTTTTACCATCACCTGGTAAGTAACTTGAAATCTGGAAGTCTGGGGTTATAAACAGGACAGCTGGCTTGCAGGTCTGTGTCCACAAAACTCAGGACAACAGAGGCTGTGTCCCCTGAGTTCTAGTCTCCATTAGAACATCTTAGAATTACCTTCACCAGCAAGGGCTGGTGACATGTATCCAGCCCTGCCCTTTCTCCCTCTCCCCTACTCTCACACTCAGAGCCTTTATGGTATTTCACCTGGCCCATCACAGGCTGGGCGATGGAGGGCCAGGCACAGGGAGGCAGGAACATTAAACATGGTCTTGGGCTCATCATGCTTGTCCTGCCATGTTCTCTGTGACCCTCCAAGAAGACCAAAGGAATAAAAGACCATGCTGTGAGTGGGTGGCTGTGGTCTTGGTAGGTTTGATTAGGAAAGAAAATGAGCTGACCTGGGAACCGCCGCATATCTCTATAGAAATTTCATTAATTTATTCTCTTACTCATTCAGTTTTTCAAGCATTCAATAGATGTAGATCATCATCTTACTATGTGCCAAGAACTGTTTTATATGCTGTGGCTATCAGACAAAGGTGAACAGAAAATAACATTGCATTTAGGTATTCACAGTATGCTGAGATAATTTTCTGGTCATTTTTAGTATAGTTGCAATTTTTCTAAAAATAGGAAGACATAGAAACATACACCCCCAAATACAGAATAGCAGTCTTTTAACTTTCTAATAAAGTTCAGTTACAATTAGGTATATGCCTCAAAAATCTTAGCACGGCTGCATACCCCAACCTGCAACCTCAAATGAGTACTCCCTAGCACCAGTACCAGCCCCCAATGGAAGATGAGAGAAAGCACAGCATCAGTCAAAAAATGAGGGTCTCTTGGAAATGAAAACAAACCAGTGACAGGCACACACTAAGCACTATGTGTCTACCATCATCATCATCATCATCGTCATCTTAACTGTTATTTTAAGCAAATGGGTAGCAAATGCAAAGCTTTGTGGTAAGAGAGAGCAAGGCATATTCAAGGAGCTTAAAGGCACTTGTGAGGGGCATAGGATGGTGAGATAGTGAGTGGGAGAGACAGATGGGGACAGACCGCGGGGACTGTAGCGTGGAGCCGCTAATGAATCCTCACTGTTCTCCACCTCCTCCCTAACTTAGGGTCTCACTACTATTCCTCTTGACTTCTTTTTTTTTTTTTTTTAATATTTTATTTATTTATTTGAGAGAGAAAGAGAGAGCATGAGTAGGATGGGAGGGGCAGAGGGAGAGGGAAAAGACTCCCTGCTGAGCACAGAGCCGGATGCGGGGCTCAATCCCAGGACCCCGAGATCATGACTTGAGCCAAAGTCAGACGCTTAACCAACTGAGCCACCAGGTGCCCCTATTCCTCTTGACTTCTATGCAAATGGAGTATTACTTGCCATCTCTGCTTCCCCTTTACTTATTCTGTCATATCCTGGACATAGATTCCCATCATTCCTAAAGCAGGGCTCCCATCAGATCACTCTCTTACTCAAAAACCTTCAGTAGTTGCTGATTGTCCACAGACTCAGCCAACTGTCTCATTGTGGCATGTCAGCCTTGCTGTGCTAGGGCTGCAGCTTACCTGTCCAGCCTCCTCTATCACTATCCCCTGCATGACCTCAACATCCATCCACAGGTGACCTTTTGCTTCCACATGCTCCCAGGCCTTCAGCACCTTCCCTAAATGCCCCCATCTCAATCTTTTGAAATCTGGACACTTTTCAAAGCCCTTCTCAATGCTCCCTCTTCTGTGAATGCTTTCCTTAGACTCCTAGTAGTCTGAGCCTGCTCCCATCTCAAAATCCCTGCTTTGTAATCCCACCAAGGTGCTTTTATTGCCCTGTGCACTGGTTTGTTTCTCAGCACAGGATCATAAGCTCTCTGAAGTCTTGCTTTCAGAGAGAACCTTTTAGGATACATGTTCTATAGAATACACTTTAGGAAACTCAATGGGAAGGAATGGAACCAGAACTCAGTGTGGGCTCTCACATGTCCACGTCACTCTAGCGTGCTTTGCTTTTTGGTGGGGTGAGTCTGGGAGTCCTGTGTAGACAGTGGATGGGTGCCCAGGGCAGGCCAGTGGCTATGGCCATGCTCCAGTCCGCCAGGCTGATCACCAAGTCCAAGGAAACAGCCAGGCCAAGATGTCTTTCAATGTAATAAAAACAAATCTAGTCACTAAGGCCACAGGTTGGAGACACAATGGGTGAAAAGAGATAAATCTTATGACCAGAGGCAAATCATATTATTTCTTTTCATTTTCTTTCTCCCTTCCTTCCTTCCTTCTTTCTGCTGACAAGTATCTCTGCCAGGTGGTTAACAGCACTTGGCCCAATGCCTCGCTGCTCACCTAGATACTCTGGTTTGTCACATTTCCCTGCTTAATTACTGTTATCAACTTTCTAGATTATTGTAAACTCGACACACTGAATAATGAGGTTAATAAAACCAGTGAACTCCTTTGCCATGCACACAGACTATTTCTATAAAAATGTCAAATGTATTATTAGCTCAGATTTAATCATCTTTTCTTATATCTTATAAATTTTTCCTAATGAACCTATTGGCTTTCCAATGAGGGCTTTACTTACTCAGTGTTAGATTTTAATTCCTCTGGACTTGATTAGAGTCTATATATTTATAGCTTCTAACATTTCTGCACTGAATAATTTCTCCAGTGAATATGTATCTGGAATTCAACAAATCAGACAAGCCTGAAGCCACCAGCATAGCACTGACTAGCTCTGACCAACCCTGGACCTTGGGACAGCCACATTATTCAAAAAAGCTTCCTGTTGATTCTTAGCTTGTAGGGTTGTCAGAGGACTAAATAATACAATACATTCAAATATTAGTTATTCTTAAATAAAATGATCCATCTTTAAAATTACACCTATTCATTCAACAATCAGTTATCAAGAGCTTCCTATGGGCCAGACTGTATGTACATAAATATCAGGGATACAAACTGTCTCAGCCAGAAGTCATTCCCAGCCTCCTGAAGCTTATACATTAACAGGGGCAGACATTTAAACAGCTTTTTATACTGTTTTCAGCAATAGGTGAGGTTATTTTAGACAGAATAAATAGGCTCAAACAAAAGACATTTTCTAAAAATCAAGTTCATTTGGAGTAAAAATGAACCCTAGAGGCAAAAGATACCTTTTGCTCTTATTTAGGGTGCAAACTGACCCTGAAAAATAGCAAATCCTTTGGAGTCCCTGTACTGTTTAACAGCATGCCAAGAAAGTAAAAACACGCAACACTGAAGGTCAAAACTGGGGTTGTAGAAAAGTGGAGCATGGATAAGTCAGGGATATTTCAGGGAGATAAATCAGTGATGACCACGTGTGCTGGGTTGAATGAAAGATCCAAATACAGAGCCCATAAGAACTCTAAGGTGGCTTGAAATTCATCAAATTGGTCGGGTTCTACTGAACTGTGACTAACACAGGAGCCTGGAAATGTGTACTTTGCTTACTCTGTCTGTAGCTGGCTGCAATACACAATCTAGAAATAACTTTCAAGTATGGGCTGGCTGGCAGGGGAACTCTAAAACTACACTAACTTCCGTGATAAACCCAACATCAAGCCATACCGGGGACTTAGTCACACCTGGCATTGGATCCAGTCCAGTGAAAAATGAGGTTAAGAGAAACAAGGCCCACTGCCCAAAGCTTGCCGAAGGTGCTGAGTTGATAACAGGAGAGATGCTCTCAGTATCCCCTGGAACTATAGTTAACATCTGTTGAGCACCTACTATGTATCCAACACTGTGCTAAGTACTTAGGTTGTTTTTCAATGTCCTTTAATACTCATTTGAAATAAGTACTCTTTTCACCCCATTTTAGAGACCAGGGAATTAAGGCACAGAGAGGTTAAGCAACCAGTCCATGGCCATTTTATCTGCTGAGTCCAAAAAGGAGAATGAACTCCGAACCTGTTTGTAACCTCTGAGCTGCAGGGGGTGGTTGCTCCCTTCCAAAGACTACATTTTCAACCCTGGGATGAAAGAAACACTTCTTGCAACATTTACCCTGCTGTTCACTCTACCAACTTAAACTTTTCTGTGATTAGGTTGTCAATGTGTTTGAAATAAGGTGTGAAAAAAAATTAATCAATTCTCCTTCCCAAAGTGGAGCTACAGCTGGGTAAGAGTCAGGTGAGGAAGCTTTATCAGAAGCCAAATAAAGTAAGGATAAAAACGTGGGCAAAGGCAGAAGCCCTCAGAAAAGGAGTGATCAGGAATCAGCAACACAATTCAAACGCTGGCATAGCCAACCAGCTTAATTCCCAGCACAGGGCGGGGGGGGGGGGGGGTGCAAAGGGAGATTTGGAGGGGAGGATGACACGGGCTAACTTCAGGATTACAAGGAATGATGAGAAAAGCAGTCATCCCAGAATATGTGCTCAAGGTCCGACGATAGGAAGAAAGAGGTACAAAATGACTTCAGGGACAAAAGACTATAGGAGGAGAAAGGACCGGGCACGACCAGTGTCCAAGAAAAATGCATTAGCCAGCACTGATAGCCCAGCCTTCATGGGGTGGCTGCCACTTGACAGCCTCCCTACAGGACTGGCATCACTGCCGATTCCATAACCTGATTCAGGAAGAGTGGAGGCCCTATAGATAACTAGCATCCCTGGCAAGAGCCAGGATTTAGGTTAAAAGACAGAGAACACTGTCTTCTATTCAAAACTCAGAATTGCTTGCAGTAGCCAAATCGCCTACTGAAGCACATGCTCAGGAGCTGCTGAACGCTTCACAGTGCGTGGAGGGAGGTGAGACAGGGAAATAAGCAAAACCAGGAAACCGAAACTCCAATTTTTAGTAAAGTTATTGTTGTTGTTACTCTGTGTCTATAAAAAGACATTTTCCAGGGACGCCTGGGTGGCTCAGTCAGTCAAGCGTCTGCCTTCAGCTCTGGTCATGATCTTGGGGTCTTCGGATTGAG